CTGATAACGCTGCTGTACAAATGTGGGATGTGTATAGAAACTGCTGTAATTCTTAGACACTTAATTCACGTCAGGAACCACCAACTCCAACGGTTTGAATTAGTTTGATAGTTTGAATGCGCTCTTTGTTTTTGATCTTATCAATAAATAGGCTTTAATAAACTTTAAAAACACTTTTTTTATGTAATAAAAACCTTATTTCACTGCAATTAAAACGCTACAATTTCAGGACCACGGACAGCGTTCACACTGATCTGCCTGTTTTTAGTTACCTGCACAAATCATCCAGCTGCATGCACTTTGACACACACACACACACACACACACACACACACACACACACACACACACACACACACCCACACACACACACACACACGTGTGTATTTATATCCTTGTGGGGACATCTCATTGACATAATGCTTTATCTAGCTGCTTACCCTAACCATCAAAAATGAATGCCTAACCCTGACCCTGACCCTAACCATAACCTAACTGTAACCCTGACACTAAAACCACATTCTGAGTCTCAAAAATGCCTTCATACTCGGGCTGTTTGTCCCCACAGGTATAGTAAACTACCAATTTTTGGTCCCCATGAAGATGTTAATACCCGTCCACACACAGACTCTACAGTCCTGCACCTGTTAGTTACTTAAGGTAGTTAATGCATGTGCACATCCTTATTTACATGCTTTACTGCTTACAGTTAGCAAACTTTGCCTCCTCTGTTAGTAAATGACTAAATGGCATAAATCATCTCTCTTGGCAGATTTTACATTAAAAAAAACTGACGGCAGGAAACAGCATAACTTTTTATAATCACCTGTAAGAGTAACCACACCTCTGAGCACACTAGTTTGAAAGGGCCACCTCTCAAACTAGTGTGCTCCCTCCTCTATCAAACCCTTAACTTTAGGATGCCATCTATATGCTGGATTTTCTTCTGGTTTAGTGTAGGGCTGGGAATCATCGCTGATTTCTAGAATCGATTCCATTTTGATTCTCAAGGTCCCAAATCGATTTGATCCTCGATTCGATTCTATTCGATTGATTCGATTCGAATCGGGGAAATTTAGCCTCAGACAGTCAGAAATATTATAATTCTGATCACTCATCAGTACATATCCATATTTCTTGTCTATAAAAAGAAAGCTGACACTTGCGAGACTTTATCAAAGGTGTGAGCATCACAGCAGAGGCCTTTGTGTCAAAGTAACTGAGGATAAAACACAGAAAAACATGAAGGAGATTTTTCTGGCCTGAGATTTTATAAAAATATTCTGCAGTCGATCAAAAACGAAAGAAAACCATTAATCAACATATGAACATGACCTGATGCTGCTGAAGTGAAGCAGAGCAAAGTTACAGAGGTTTGATTACAGACACAGCTGAGAGTTTTGCAATTTTGTATAATTTTAAAGTTTACATTTGTTCAGTGTTGAACAGCAGAAATGAGGCTTTCTTTTCCAAAGTAAGTAAAAGGAAAAAAACAGCGTCCGACAGGCTGTAAACAACGGTAGGTGTGTAACAAGTAAGCGAATAACGCAGAAAAAAGATTTTTAGACGGGAAAGTGCAGAGAGAGAGAGAGAGAGAGAGAGAGAGAGAGCTCTGCATGAAGTGTGATTTTATCGTGGTGGAAGAAAAACAGCAAAACTAAGTGAATTCATGCCGATCTTTATGTGAACCGTAGTTTGGATCTTCTTTTGCTGCTGGTTGAGTCAATATTGTTTGGAGAGATAAAAACCTGCAGCTTCAGAATCAGCGAGCTGTCGGCTTTCAGCCCCGACCGCGTACATGCCAGCGCATGAGAAAGGCGACAGCTCACTGATTCTGATGCGTCGGGTCGGCACTTTGTGTTTACATCTTTGTGCAGGACCCATGTCCCTGCTCTCATTTACTGCTTTAGCTGTTTGGTAGTTGTTGAAAATTTGGTTTAACCTGAGATTCTGGCGTTT